ACGTCCTTTTCCAAGCTTTGAGACAGCGTGTCTCTTCTAAACAGCATCTGCATGGGTTTGCTTAATATTCTTTTATTTATTGGGCACCTGGGTGTCTCAGCCAGTTGAGCGTCCAACTGTTGATTTCAGCTCAGGTCATGGTTGTGGGATCGAGCCCCGTGTTGGGCTCTGCCCTGAGCCTAGAGCTTGTTTGGTCTCTCCCCCACCCCCCCACCCCCCCGGTCCCTTCCTTCCTCCCTCTCTAGATAAATAAACATTTTTTAAAAAGGAAAAAAATATATTTTTACTTGTTTAGTACATATAACGTAATTACTGAATCCTTGGTTGGTCCAGCATGCTCATTAGAAATAAAGCGAGGATGTAAGCTTTACGAGGCTTGGCTTTCCAGAAAATGTTACATTCGCTGTGTAATTTTGGTCACGCGAAGGCATTCCATCATCTAAACAGCCCTCTTGTGTAAGTGATGCCCCCCTTATGTAACACACGCATGTGCTGAATCTCAGCCAGGGCCTACGGTACCGTGGAGGAACAGGGGAGATGGGCCTAGATGTCTCTGCACCTCCCCCACGTCCTCAAATTCCCTGCACACCTGACGTTAGTAAAGGCAGATACTGGTTAAGATCTCTGACTCTCCTGACCCTTTCTATCACGTCAGCTCTCTATGCGATTTCGCTGTTCCAACCTGGGACCCCTTCAATTCAGTCTCGACCAGAGGAAGCTCTCAGGAGGCGGAGCGAGATCAGGTCACTCCTCCAGCCAAGTGGCTTTCTAGACACTCAGAGGAAACGCCATCATCTCCAACAGTCTCAAGGCATGCACAGTCAGACCTCCCCTTGTCTCTTCTGTTCCTCACATTTGCGACACTGTCCTACATCAGGGCCTTTGTCCTGTCCCCTCGGCCTGAGGAAATCCACAATGGCTGGCTCCCTGTCCCTCTCAAGTCTTTCCCTTCCCAGTGAGGTTCTACTTGCCGGTACACGAGATCTCCTCCAGACCACTCTCTCCGTAGCCTCCACCTCCTTCTCAGACACGTATAACCGGTACGTCTATTCATTCGTTGCTGTCTCTCCTCAACGTAAGAACGCAAGCTTCCTGGGAACAGAGGCGTTTCATCTGTTGTGTTCACTGCTGTAGCCACAGTGCTTTGAGCAGTACCTGAAAAAGTATACTTTCAAGTATCTGTGAAGTGGATGAAATTCCCCTCTGGGTACCGTTCTGGCTGCACCCCACGGGTACATTTAGTCCTTCAAAAGAAATCCGCCCCAGATACTCCGTAATCCGTTTTTATTTCCTCCTACGCTA